TGAACAACAGTTTTAGCAACTGATTCAATGAAATTGTTTGATATCCCCCTTCTTCACAGATTCAGCTTTATTAGTCAATAGTGTATGCCTTAACCCTGTTACACCCAGATAGGTACATCCTGCCTCGAGGGAAAAATTGCAGCATAGAATTAAAAACATTATAGAAAATAAATTTGTAGTCATTCTTCCACACATTTAGAATTGAAATTTATTCAATAAATAAAAATTTTTAAATTTTGATTTTAGGTTGATTTCAATGAGCTCCATGGCACTTGTAGCTTGAGAGGAGGAAAGTCATAATAATTTTGAGCAATATAGTGCTAACTTGACTTTGTAAGTTGAATACAAGTGTAGTTTTATAAATTTTTAGATCATTTTTTCTCAACATCAGTTGTTATGATATGATGAAATTTCCTATACAGGTTGACTATCACTAATCCGGCATCATCGGGACCTGGAGGGTGCCGGATTAGCCATCTATTAGGTTAGAATACACCAAACCCACTAGCTAACCACCTCATCTTAAAATTAAAATATCCCATAAAACAGTACAAGTTGATTAATAAAGAAAAGATAATTGGAAAATATTGGAAAGAAAACTTTCAAGCGAGACTAAAGTATTTACTTAATAACGCGTATCTTGCTTTACTGTGTTTGAAATTGTTCTAGCCGAAATTAGTGCCGGATTACTGATTGTACCGGATTACAGATTGCCGGACTAGTGATGGTCAACCTGTATATCAGTTTCAAGAAATCATAGGCTAGTGATCTAAATATGTTATGAAATCTTATATTCTGTTCTTTTCAACTTATTTTGTGAAATATCTGGCTTCCAGTTCAGAAGAATTCAAAGTACAAATAAAATTGTGGAAAAGAAACTTTATTAATATATATATATATATGTATAAATTAATCTAGAACAAGTTTAAAACTCATTATGTGTATTAATTGAAATGATCTGTTTTATATTTTAAAGTAATTTTCACTTTCTTATAATTTTGGTATAGTAAAAACAAATTTTTATTATACGCCAATGATCGTAAACACTGTGAAACTGGATGCATTATTTTCCAAATCAAAGCAAAAGAAATAGATTTACACTTTTATTAAATAAAAACTTTATGCAGAGGTTTAAGAAGGATGTGGTAATACATAAAAATCAGTAGTTAAAATCTACACCAAAGGGAAAGATTTTTAATTGTTTCTTAAAAACATATCACAATTAAATTATTCAAATTTTCAAAGCTGCAAATTTGTATGAATATCAAAAATACAATTAAGATATTTGCAGAAGCTACATAATCTGCAGAAAACTTGTGTAAGATAATGAAAGTGAAGACAGTAGATAAAACATAAAATATTTTATTTATAAGGTTTGAATGTTTTGGAGTAACTTATTCCATCTCCAGCGAAATCTGAAAATTGTGTTTCAGAGATGATTATTACTAAAATTATAATATAATATTATCATTAGTTTACTTAGTTATTAAGAAAAGCTGTAAATTAACAGATGAAACAATGTTTATATTTATATATATATATATATT